ATTTTGTTGAAAATGTTTTTTTGATGTTGGAAAACATCAGGGGACGATGAGTGTTTCCAAGTTCAGTCCCACAAAACAGGAGAATACGAGTCAGCTTCCCCGATCAATAAAAAACATGTGATCACTCAGAGCTGTGAGTGAGTTGGTGACTGTTGTGCACCCTTTTCCCCCCCGTCTCATCACAAGTCACTGGGCTCATTTTACAGGCCTTTGTACATACTTTGCAAAGTCATGATAAATGTCTGAGTGCTTTTAAATTCAACCGCTGCTCCCCTCCCCTCCCCCCCTCCCCCGATTCAAACGGGCTGGATGTGGGATGATGGTTAGATGTCTGTGGGAAACACATAGGAAGTGATGATCACTGTGACTGAACAGTGCAGCTTCATGTCCAGCTCTGAGTGCATCGCTGCCAGGAAGTACAATGAATCAAAGTGGAAATAAGGATGATGGGGAAAGTCAGCTACCGCAATGTCTGACCATAAAATACATTACAATACAAGGCCGCTTCATGTAATCAATCATGAAGACAGACGAGCACAAGCAGAGTGATATGCTTTACTAAGCTGTGTACAAACCATCGACTGTTTAAAGAATGCGAAGCAGTAACGTCCCCAACAGTGAAGAGCCAAAGTGTTTAGAGCTCCCCCTGCTGACTGGCTGCAGTACACATCATAAACCCCGCCTCCTTCAAATTAACAGATGTGACACGGGTCAAACTATAAAATCAAAATACAAGTCACATTTGAAAAATGATATCCTGCTGCTTTGTGTTCGAATCATCTTTTTTAAAACTTTTTTTCAATTTGTTATTCGATGCTATTAGAAGGTATAAAAGCAATTTTGCAAATTTTATCGATAAGTTAAACGTTTGTTTTCGTTGCAGAAGTTTGAACTGCCCGTTCAAAAGAAGAACAAAGAGGACAAGATTATTAAACTGTAGGCAGCTAGAAAACTGGGAAGCAGATGTGCAGCATTTCTTACCTGACAGATCGGTATAAACTCAATGTAGCGAATATGATCATAGCAGACCAACTGCACCTGCTTTGGTCTGAGTATGAACTCTTGACTTCGGGGCGCAGCCTGGTGCAGAATGAGAATCACATCCTCAGCTGCTCTGATGATACAGTGTGAACTTGGCACTCTAGCCTCCGTACATGGGTCGTGTGCACTAATCACTGGGCCACCGGCACTCCTGTGAAATTGTTTTATACTTATTTATTTCATAACTTTAAGGCCGATTCATCACTGTCAGGAGGAAAGAGGCCTCGATGATATTTTTCTAGAAGTTAAAGTTCCTTTATCAAACAATATGTGATTGTAGGAGGATCAAAAAGCCTTCTGGGAAATCTGAAACCATGGCCTCTTGAACAATAAAAATCAGCAGGAATACAACAATTCACATTGAGAAAACAGTCCCTGAGTGCATCAATCCTCAGTTAACACTGTATCAGTATAATAAGCAATCAACAATCAGTTGAACATCTGGAGGTGTAATCACTGCTGCTTCCACTCCACTTTTTCCTCCCCTATAAGGTTTGATTTCCTTCTTATTTAGTTATTTTTGGATGTTTTTCTGTTACCAGTAGCAGCTGTATGTGATTTGTAGGAAACACGGCATGCCTGAATCCTAATGTGCTGTGATTCATAGTTATGAATGACAAATAAAGCCATGGCTGATTTGTTTCTGCATGATTTCTAAAAAATCATTTAGCCCCCACGTTTGTGCCGCGTCGTCTGACTGAAGCTCCTTTGACACCCATGAACGGGCCCACTCGAGCGTCGAGTCAGAAATGAACATGAATTAAGACTTAGTCATGAAGAACATGCCATCCTGTCTAAAAGTGAAAATCATGTCACCAAATAGATCACATACATTTATAGCCTTACTATGGCAGCATGGCTTTATGAATCAGTCTGTCTGTCCATGTGTTTTTTTTGGGGGGGGAGGTTGAGTTCTGAATCATTTCAGCAACTATGGGATAGATTTATATGACAGTTAATTTGTATTTCATAGTTCAGAGGATGAAGCGATTTCATATGAAAGTTTGACTTCTCAAATACGATCAAGGAACAAAGCAAAGGGTCAAAAAAGTGAAGTGTTTTTTTACCCAAGAAAATATTTTTCCCGGAGTATTTTTGGGAAAGCAGAGGACGATGTTTCACTTTTTAATCATCCATTTAGTCAAATTTCATCGCCGTCTGGATCTAGTTTACTTGTTCTTCTGCTTTGAGTATCTCTTTAAGGATAAGAAATGACAAAATACAACAGGAAAGACTAAACGAGGAAAAATTAAGATAAAGACATACACCAGGGAAACAAGCAACACTAAGATGGAAAATTACCAAAAGACAGAAAATTACCACTAAGCATCAAAACAAGAAATAACCAAGGCACCCAAAGAGGAAGGACGTCTACAATAAAGTGTTTGTTATTCTTCATATTATGAGACATCCGGACATGTTCAGACATCATAAGGTTCTCTGGTTTGCCGTGGAGGCCTGGCTAAGCTCAGTGTAAACTACACTGACGGGTGCAGCAGTGCAGACAGACGATACTCATTTAACTTTCTGTTTTCACAAACAACGTATTGCAGTTTGAAAAAAAAGAAGAGGATAACCTTTAAGGATTTAAAATCACACCCAGCTCCCTCATTAAGACTCCGTGTCTCTGACTTTGAAATATCATGATTGTTGTATTGTCATTGTTGCTCTGTGTCATTATCTATAACAGCTTTTAGTCAGCCAGCTGGAAAACAGCTCTGTTTTTTAAGACATAATAGCTCAGAGGAATTTATTACCTGCTTGCTTTTCTCTCCATGAAAACATACACTCGGTGCTCGGCTCGGCCCTGTGGCTCATACGATAATAACGATTTTTATATAAACACACACCACAGTAGTAGTCATGCACATTTGTTGTTTTGTGTTTTTTTCCCTTCACCTCACCACGATGGGTCACTCACAACAGCAGTGAAGTGTAAATAATACACCCAGATTGACTTTTCATGTTTGTTTACTTGCAGTGCAGTTTTCCCTTCAAGACAGAGCGATCGATAGAGCCGAGAGAAAAAGACCCCAACACAGTTTGATGCAGACATGCCGTGCATACTGAAATGTTTGGTTGTTGCCTACACCTTCAAATCACACCGTCAATCACTTTGGACGCATGTTTACTACCTCCACCTTTTAACAGAGACACTGATTTAGATTTTATTATAATCTAGTTTAATCTTTATTTTTATGTTGTTGTTGTTGTTGTTGTCAGGTAAGCAATGACTTGGGTCTTATGTTTCACACATGAAAGCATGATGTATAAAATATGATAAATGATGATACTACATCTGTTTTATGACAAATACAAGACATTAGAAACAATCACAGGGACTCAACTGAAAATGGTAATAAGCTACAACAACACAAACATGGGAAAAAATCAATTTAAGAATTGATTAATCCGTAATACTGAAAGTATTTAATCAAAATACAACAACCACAAAGACCCACTGGGTGTGTTTACAGTAAGAATACCATTTGAACAGCTTCTTTCACCAGTTTTGTGCAGGTTTGGTGGTTTAGTGACATAAAGTATCATCGAATCAGAATCGAGATTTATTGCCAAGTACATTTACACATACAAGGAATTAGAATTTTGGTGCTAAATAATTAACAAGGAAATAAAGAATAGCAACATATACTTGTACTTTTAAAATGTTGTTAAATTCAATTTATACAGCATAAGAAGCTATTACAATATATAAAATAGAGTTTAAAAATGTCTGGTGGTATAGTCTTCAACCTTCCTAAAAGAGCACATGTCACTCCGCTGTTCATCTCCTTACACTGACTCCTCCTTACTTTAACTCTCTGAGTCTACACTTCCTCTCGCCCCTCTACGCTCTGCCAATGAAAGGCGTCTGATCCAACCTTCACAACAGGGTCCTAAGTCTCTGACTACACTCTTCTCCTCTGTCGCCCCCCGGTGGTGGAATGAATTTCCGAACTCCATTGGATCTGCAGAGTCCCTCTGCACCTTTAAGAAAAAGCTAAAGACCAGCTCTTTCATGAATACCTACTAACTTAATGATGATGGTCTCCATATTACTGATGATGATGATGAATGACGATGGTTTTTGTTTGATAACGACGACTTATAAGATGGTTTCTATACTGATTAGAGCTCTCAAGAACTGCCCTCAATGTTGTGCTTTGCCTCTGGTCACTTCCTGTCAGCACCTGTGTGTCCAATCAGACTCAAAGCTGATCGTTTGCTCTTACTGACATTGTTCCCTTTTTTCTAGATCCTTGCTTGTGTTGTACTTACTCTCTGATGTACGTCGCTTTGGATAAAAGCGTCTGCTAAGTGGATTGTAGAATTTTAGAACTGTAAAATATTAAAAATAAAAAACACAAAATGTACAAAAGGTGCAATGTAGGAGCTGTGCAATGGACTATGAGAAAAATCTTATTCAATGAATTGTAAAAAGAAAAAAATCCTCTCCTTGTTTGATTAATAAGAAAAATCCTATCCGTTGTGTTTGCTCTGTTGGTCACCACCACTCTCTGTACGCCTGCCTTCTTATCATCATGATAACATTTCCCACCGCTTGTCTAAAATTGGACGCCTGGGTGAGCCTTAACCAGCCTACAGCGGCCCTCCCCTCCTCCCCTACTCCCTCCCCCCTTTGGCTGGGTAACCCAGCACGCACACACAAACCTCTGTGTGAATGTACAATCAAAGGAGACGCAGATGATTCCCATTTAAAGGTGGAGGGGAAGTACGGCTCTATAGATGGTTGCCATGGATTTCTCTCAAAAGCTTTTGGTTAAATGGCACACCCACTTCTGATGTCAGTGCTGGAAGGAGGAAGGGGGGGAGGAAGGAGTTGATGGAGGGAGATGGGGAGAGAGAGAGAGAGAGAGATGAGGGCAAAGGGAAGGGAAGGAGGGAAAAAAGAGAAGGAGGGTAGGAGAGAGGAGAGGAGGGGAGGGGAGGTGAGGGGAGTCAGCCTGTTGCTCATGATCATCAAGCATACTCCTCGTACTCCACGGGCAGAGACGGAGCTGAGTCAAAGCAGGCAGGAGCGGCAGAAAAAACACATTTCATATTTTTTCCCTCATGTGCGTTCTCGTCTGAGCGCTTGGAGCAAAACTGACTTGAGGGGAAGTGATCCAGGAGTTCACAGTGAGTACATTTATTTTTTACTTCATTACATCCAAACTTGAGTTTTTTTTTTTCCCTTGAAACAAACACTCATCCTCTCGCTCTGAGTTGTCACACTTTTTTTGAGAGTTTGTGTTGCTGCACGGCATTTTTCTTTCCAGTTACAAGTTGCAAATGAAAAATGTGAGTGAGTGACATTTGAGCAGCTGATTTGTAAGAGTTGATTTAAAGGAAATATGTTTGGATTGGAGTGTCATTAGATCTCAGCCTTTGATTTTTGCTCCAACTTTCCAGAAATAATAGGTTGAGCAGGCATGCACTCAGTCCTTTTCTTTAATAACATACTTGGAAAATTTCATTTTTTGTTGATTATTACAGCCTGATCAAGCTGATTAAATGGCTCCTGCATGTTCTACTTTTGATTGAAATTGGTATCATTTAACTCAGTCTATTTAGGATGCATCTACAACATGTCTTAAACAGATGACGGTGATTTGCATGCTGGATACTCTATACGTATAGAATGGTAACAAGGCGGCAGCTTGTTATGATCCATCCACAGTACTGATATGTTATCACAGGCGAGGGTTCAGGACATTTTCAGGGATAAGCGAGGTGTACTAATGTGCTGCTGATGCAGCTGTAACTGCAGCCACTTTTTTTTTTTCTTTTACAAATCAAATTTTGAAAGTGAAAAATCGATGTGAGAGAAACTTCTGAGTCTGAGAGCCACTTCAAGTCCTCAACCAGTGAATCACAGCTGAAGTTAACGTTTCAGTGAATCCATAAGAGATCATTCTCGGCACAGCACATGGTCTCACTTTGAACATGATGTTAGGTCATCAGAGCTGAATAATGTGGTTACGAGTCCACACGTTGTGAATGCCTCTGAAGGATCTGTCATATATGACGGATTAATAGATCATCCCTCTCTCTCCTGCAGGTTAATAGTGACTGTAATGAGATGAACTAATGACTTTTTCCCCGTTCTAACAGCTAATAGTGGCTGTCTCATTCTCCCCCACACACCTAAAGAGATCGGTGAAAACTCATTTTATATCTGCTACTCCCAGGTGTCTATATGTGTAAGGTATGTGAGGGTTCTATGTGTTTATCCTGAAGTGTCATTAGAGCAGGTCGAAGAGCTGAAATCCCACCGGTGACACTATTTCCCACGAGCACCATGGGTAAACAACTTGATCTTCACTCGTGACTCAGATTCAATATAAAGTAGACACAAACTGAGAGACGGATGTGCTTAGAAAGTGTTAGGAGGATAGGTGGAAGGTCTCTCTCTTTCTCCAATCAGAGGGTTTTAAAACTTTGGCAGCTGGGAATTCATTCCATGTTTTCATTAAATTGGAGCTCCGGCTTCCATCTGGATTTTTTTTCAAACCACTATTTGCTTTAAATGGACTTATTTCAGTTCTGATACTAGGCTTGGAATTGCCTCCAAAACATGCAGAATCAATTACAACAAGAACGCCATCCAAGCATCAACACCATATCATTATTTCTGTCTTTGTTGCTTTTTTAAGATTTTCATTTTTGGGCTTTTTATGACTTTATTTGAACAGGACAGTGCATAGAGTCTGAAATCTTGCAGAGAGAGAGAGTGGGTAATGACATTGGGAATGAAGCGACTTGAACCTAGGCCGCTTGCTTTGAGGACTATAGCCTCTGTACATGGGGAACACAAACTGACCACTAGGCCATCGTCGCCTCGCTACACCATAATTTATTACGCCACTATAAAAATGGACGTGCATAAACAAAAAATATGCATATCTGTTTCCACTGTAACAACTGTTTTAGAGCGGCAAAGAACGACTCATTTAAGGTGAATTATCATGTGATGTTAGCAAACAATGCCAGTGCGATGCTAGCTAGCACTTTAAGCACAACTTTAGCCATAGCTAGCAAAAAGCCAGCGATCAATGTTTGACTATAAAATGCTTCAGACTGTATTCTTATTACATTTAAATATATTTAAAACTGGTAAAATCTCAGATCAAAGTAGTTTAATGTTGAAAATCAATGTTTCTCTGATGCTCTTTGGGAGGAAATCAAAAGGGGCTGTGAGCCAAGCTGCCGCTAAAGTTTCGCCTAGCTTGTTTCTCTTTGCTTAGCTTGGTTTTTACACTGGGATCAGGTGGAAACTATAGGCGTTGAAAAGTGAAACTAAGCTTATGTTTAAAAAACTGTAGTTCCTCAGGTGTCCACTTGAGGCTGGCTCTGTAAGCCAAGGAAAACCATTTCAAATTACAGCCGAGTTAATCTTGTGTGCAGCACAATTAAAACAGTTTGTTCTCTATTGCTACTTCCTCGGTTGGCTCATCCATTTAGATTAAATTAAGAATTTGAGTTTTGCATGAATTTGCATTATTAGTGGGGTTGCTATAGTTGACTGATAAATTGACCTGTTGTAGCTGTTTTCCAGGAGGCTAAGGACCTGCCTCAACTCCACCTCTTTGCATTTTCCTAGATTGACCTAAAGTGAGGTGGACTCAGCCTTTTCAGTCTGGTGACCACCATTGTTCAGCTTAAAAACACAGTATCAGAAACCAGTAGGTGCTGCACAAAGACTATTTCCATGTTTCAAACAATCTATTGTAAGAACTCTTTCACTCTGGTGAGCCAGGCCATTCAAAAATAATTGCTTTTACAACACAATCCATGCAGTGGCTCTGAAGGATACCCGACGTACTGGAGGTTTCAGTAAAAATGGTATCACATCATCTGTAAAGAATAACACAATTTCAAATTTCCACTTGTACTGTGTTCTTGCACAGACCGTCATAATCAGTGACACGAAGGCTGTTATTTTCTGCTCTATACACCGGACGTTTTAAGTTCTGCCCATCGAGAAAAATATTCGATTTCCTTTAACCTGGCTTACATCATTGAACCCTGCAACAGAAAACTCATTCCTCTTTGTCTGCTCGATTTATTCCATCTCATCGACTAAAGTACTTCTTCCCTCACAGTGTAATACTGTTGAGACTGGCAGGTTTCTTCCCCCCCTATCTTTCTCTGAGGCGGTCATTGCTTGTACATCCTGTCACCTCAGCCCCTCAGGGACCCTGCTCCAGATCTAAAACTCTTGATCTGGAGTGACAGAAAGACAGTCAAGTCCTCACAGGTATGAGGCTGTGTCTGTCTACACACATGCCCCGGACCTCAGACAGACACTTTATCGGCTGCCAGTGAAAAGGAAATTGTTTACATGGCCTAGAGCGGTAAAGGTGCTCAGATGTTGCAGCTGCTGCAGAAAAAGAAAACAAGGGCATCAGAAGAGGAAATGTGAGTGTTGGTTAATGTACCCAGACAATGCAGGGAAGTTAATGTTATGCAACCTTTAATCAAGTTAGTTAAGCACTTACAACCGGCGAGAGCGTATAATCATCCACTCATACCTGGATGAAAAAATTACAGTCATTATAGAATCAGTTTGAGGTGATGGGCAGATGTTTTGTGGAATAACTAAGTATTGTGTGTCACAGGTTGTTAGGAGAGGCATAATGTGGACGCAGTGGTGCAGAAATGTGTGGATTTAGTGGGTTCTGCCTCAGACTGCCTGGGGGATCGAGTGCTTTGAGAGAGGAGGGACAGACAGAAGACGGGCCGGGGGGAAGAAAAAAAAAAACTGCAGACAGAAAATGACTGAGGTGTGATTCTTCTCATTTGCTCATTGTTAGGGAGACATTTCACTCCAAACAAAACTCGATTGGCATTTCAAAAGGAATGCTCTCTTTTTTATAAATAAGACCATGAAGCCATTTTTTTTTTTTTTTTTAAAAGAGAGAAGGGTGGTGCTTTAGTTCTTCTTCACTTCTGCGTGGGTTGCATTTGATTCTGAACTTTCAACAGAACATACAAAAAATCAATCGCCATTAGCACTTACAAAGCTCATTATTGCAGTTTGTCATCTGGGCAGAATTTTTTTGTGTATAGAATCACAGAGCGGTGCATCGCAGTGCAACCACGGACTGAGTTAAGGAGACAGTTAACGTCCTCGAGCTATAACTTCTTCTTCCCGGATATTTCAGTGTGCATACAAACCGCCCACTTACAGCAAGAAACAAACATTTTTTGTTTACAGCTAATCCTGCTGGGATTGGAAAAAGGGGAAGGTCCTCTGGGGCAGAAACTGCTGCTGGCATGCTCGACTGTTTCTGCATTACACCAGATTTCAGAGGGAGAGAAAGTCGAAATCCTGGCGGCTCTTGTGGTTTCCAGTCCATTTCTGGAACCTCTCACAGTCCATTAGAGAGGAGCGAGCTGTAAAAGGGAAGAGGAAGAGAATTGGCTGCTGGGGAGGGAAAAGGGACATCATGTGGTCTTAAATGGTCATTTAGCCTGATGCACTCCATTTGCGTTTGAAGCATCTGGATGAAGAACATTTTGTTGCAATGTTACATTATTTCCAGGCCAATAAAAAATTCAACATTAAGGACGAAATCAAAAACGCTCTCTGCACTCTCAGCAGAAGGTTATCAGCTGTTAAACGTGTTACACTTCAATTCGAAGCGTCTGAGATTCTGATTTCATACTGATCACTCATTTAATTACCATGTGTTTGTGTTTCACAGATTGAGTCGAGTTGAATTGCAAATCCTTTTTTTTTTCCCAGCGACCGATTGGAAAAATCCATCCGATTCAGAGTCTCTGCAAATTTCACAGCTCTTCCACGTGATGTGCAGCCTGTTAATAAATAGCATTCATTAATAAATCGGCTGTTCTTGACTCTTAATGTGACACATTCCCCTGCATGTATTCATGTTAAATAGACTTTTATCAAACAGAATCATCCATATTAAACAGGACTGCTGCTGCACACATTTCTCTGCAGAAGGATTTTAAAGAAAATAATCAAAACCTTAATTAACTTTTTTAAAAGCTTCAGGATCTGTTAGAAGATCCTCTCAGCTCTGACCTCGTGCAGGTCCATGCTGGGGGTGGTGAAGCTCTCCGAGGACTCTCGAGGAGGGCACTGTGGGAGACGTACAATGCAGGCGGGCGGCAGAGACTCACAACAACCCAGTGAGTCACCAGGCAATCTGGAGAACATGCCCTGTGGCTGAGCTGTGATCACGCTGGCACAGAGAGAGGCCAGACCTCAGCCAATCTGGTGGGGAGAACAGCCTCCTATCTGTCTTTGCAGCGTTTCATCTCTCCCTTCCGAGATAGACTCCATCCCCTCGAGGAAGAATCTCAACAGAGCGCAAAAGAGAAGAAACACATGTTTAAAAAAAAAAAAAGCAACAGTGTGTGTAGAACAGTGAAAGCACAATCGCTTATGAAGGCAAAGTGAGAAATCAAACTGCCTCGAGGGGTTAAGTGTGATTTAATCTGGTAGGAGAGCGGCGTAGGCCTGTGCACATCCACACTGGCGAGATGCACTGTAGGCGTACCGATAACCTTCGCCGCATGGAGGGGGGATGTGAGAACTTAACAATTTGTAGCAGCAAAAAGGAGGGATTTTACAGTATGTGAAGGGATGGTTTCATTCTTGTTTTTGGTCTCATTAAACCAGAAAAGCGTTGATTTCAAAGATGATTCATGTATTAAAAGTATGTAACATTTCCAGATGTGAATGTGGGTGTGGAAGGATTGTAAGGAAGTACATTGTTTGAGCCAGCTGCCCTACTACTGCTAAGTAGTAACTGAAGACAAACTAATCCCTTAAAGTAGTCTTTAGCCAGAGACACCCTGCGGTTGTCATTAAAAATGTCTGACAATAACATGGGAAATGTTTCCTGCAGAGATGATACCTTTTGGTTAAATCACCACTTTAAACCACCATTGACAAAAAACTGTGATTTAACCTCGCAGAACACGGGACATGCTCGTCTACCACTGCAAAGATTGGTTAATTTGGTTGGTTTACTTTAGTGCATGAAATGGTTGTTTTAGAGCAATATGAAGTCTTTTTATGACACAAAAACATTTTTTTTAAATACTGATTGATTGTTGTTGTAACGGTAGACCAGCAACACCTGTGCTCTGGGATGTAAATCTGCTGATTTTTCCATCTGTGTCTGGTGACTTTAAAGACTTAATGTCGCAGCTGATTGTTTAAAAATCTTAATGTTTGACATGAATGAATGTCTATTTCTGCAGGGACGCTTTCCATTCTGATATATCAGACACACCAGTAGTGTAGTGGTGCCTGAAGAAGTGGGTTTACTCCCTGTGTGTCCCTTCCAGCAGAGGATAAACAGCCTCTCTAATAAACAGTACCATATAAGGCTACTCTTGCATATTTAGTTAGTGTGTACAAGCCAATTAGAGACCGAGTAGGGAGGGTCGTCCCTTCACCATCATAGAAAAAAAATTGCAGAATATTACTGAATATTGTCAATCAATTAATGATGTGAATCTGAGGGGATTTAGAAGTGGTTATACCCAATGGAGTCTGAAAAACAAGTGATTATTCTCTGTATACCTGCGTATATCCTGCACTACACTGAGCAACAACAAGAATATCAATGTGAGCCTAACATTGACAAAGAGCAGGCTCATCAACCCCCTGAGGATTATATTGCAGCTATCACATCCAGTTTCGAGGCTGCTGGATGAAACCATCTACTGGAGCAAATCAGACTATTGCCCATTTTAACTGTTTTGAAAATTGACCGAATAAAACGCCACCAAGGAGTAGTGCGTAGGTCATCACAACCACGACGAATGGTGGCGTTGGAGTTAAGGGTTGTTTTTTTGCTCTTAATTTCATGGGTGGAGGATGAAGCTGAGTGTAATCAGCGGCTCACTGAGGCTGACAGTGCAGGTGCCTAATAACCGTTCAGTGACACATCCACATTCCCGTTTTAGAAGCCGAGGCCTCCTTCCCCGACCCAGAATTGGTGGTGCAGAAAAAATCCAGGCACTGACATTTTAATTCCTGACTGGCTAGGGTGCCTCCCCCGTAATAACTGTAATTGATTCAATTAGTTTGGATGCAGGCCACGAGGTCGTCTCTGCAGCCGTGATATCCAGTAAACAATTTCTCTTTCTTTCTCTCTGCTGGTTACAATATTCTGCTTTCTTTTTCTCTCATATTGATCTGCGATTTTTTTGTCTAGTTTTTCTTTTTTTTTTTTTAAATCTCAATGCAGAGAGGAAAGTGGAAATATTTGCATGCTTGCTTGTTTGCTGTGAGTAGAAGCTGCATAACAGTGTGATTGTGAGTCAGTGCACACATCTGCAAAGACAAAAAGAAAACATTTCATTTTGAATCCACTAAATCTACACGTTTGCAAAGGAAGATTTAAATAAAACAGACATCATTTTTTAATGTTTAAGTATATAATTCTGGAGCTGCACAACGTTGTTACATCAGTGCATCATGTAACAGCAGACAAGATAACATCAGGCCATTATTTATAATTCCCATGATGCTGTGTAACAGATGTTCATGCACACAGCATGGAGTGAAATGTTTATCCCTCGATGCCTGCTCTAACTACATCAGTGATTGTGTCTAATGATGCCTGAATGACAGATTCATGAGGCTAACATGATAGCTGCGACATGCAGTTTGTAGATAAAAAGGCTCATTTGACTAGATTAATTTAATTTCCAGTTGTTGCTCTTGCGGGCTCTCGTTGTATGTCAGAGAGTTATAGCACTGCAACAGCAATCCTCTGTTGTTTTAATTTATTTAACCTTTGTTCAGACAGGAAATCTCATTGAGACACAGGAGCTCATTTTCGAGACAGACCTGGTTAAGACAGCCGCAGTAAAACAACATAAAGCTTCAAACAGGCAGGGCATGCAATCGAATGAAAAGGAAGGACGCCAGTCACAATAGAGAGAGGTGCAAAGGTGGCAAGTGACGGTCAGCGTTTTCTAAATACTACAAGAAGAAAACACCAAAGATTCTCTCTCCAGCTCCGAGCTATCTCCCTGTTGACTGTTTTTTGTCTTTGAGTCTAAGTATGCCCAGCTTAGCTTAGCTTAGCTAGGTTTAGATTTCCTACCAAGACCAGAATGAGAATACTGATTCTTCTCTCATGTCCATGCACTCATTTTGGAGCCCAGAGTTGAGTCGCTTAGCTTAGCATAAACGCCAGAGACGATAGAGACGGTTACTCTGGTTTTATCCCAAAAAATGTTTCAGCAGCTCTGAAGCTTGTTAATTTAAGTCTTGCACCATTTTTTTTTTTTGCCAACAACAGCAGAGCTTTGAGTTTCTTGAGTCTTATCATCACTGTAAAGTTACCAGTGAAGCTAGCTTGAGCTCCCTGCTTCTTGTCCTTTAGAAAGCTAAACAAGATGACGCAAGCTGCAGCTCTGTAAATAAATCTCCCCCCTAAACCCCGGCCTTTTTCTTCCCAAAAAGTTTTTTTTTTTTTTTTCCTTTCTACAACTGTTTCTCTGCAGCCGGCATGAGCCCATCTACTGTAATATGATAATAATTCATCCTTTAGACCAGTGTTGTTCCTAAGCTTTTCTGCCTGACCCCCTCCTTTTTTCAAGTTTTCAAGATGTCTCAAAGTGGCGTCCTAACTTGTTTGGCATCATGTTGTTGGAAGCTAATAGTCTAAGGTACTACACACACTGGTCTCTCTTCGTTATACACCGTTGTGCAGTTGAAGTCGAGCCCGATATATGACTCGTCATGTTTTCTTGTCTTTGTTTTAAGCTCCCGGAAGTCCTCTCACTAAAATTGCTGTTATGTGCTCTGCCAGCAGCGCAGAACTATGTGCATTGTGTTTGTTGTGTTATGTAGCCTGAGTGATGTCACCAATTATTTTAATTATTTAAAAAAATCAAACCCCTGTACCGTGTGTGCCCATGAGTACAATAGCTTATCAGACCTAGCGGTATATTGTTTTTTCCATTTGTTTGTTCCTGTTAATTTCTGCTGTGAAAACAAGCTTTTTGAATGTGGTGTGTATGTGACTCACGGGGCTCCTGCAGCCAGCCTCAAGTGGACACTCGAAGAACTGCAGTTTTTTTTTTTGCACTTCTGGATTTGCTTCATTTTTCAATACCGGAGGTTGCCGCTTGCTTTAGACAAACAATTTGCACGTGTGACCAGACTAGATTTTCCGAGCTACGATCATGTTTGCTAGTCTTTAATATTTACTGAGTGATGTTGCTTGACATTGGTTTTTGGTTTGAAGCGAAACAGAAACCTCAGCCGGTCGGACTTCAGCGTACCAGCTCAAAGATTTTGGGTTAAACACTCAAGCCAAGTTTTCATTCTGTGCATACTGAAAAAAGATGCTATCTCTGGCTGATAATATTACATCAGACTCCACCTCTCATACTCGATCTGAAGAATCTCAGCCTTTGGGTTCAAACAGAGGATTTAGCGTCCCAGAGGCTCGACTGAACAGGCTGCAACACTCTTCAGTCTTATGTATGTTCTCATATTCTCATTACATTTGTTCAGAGAGTGGGCCGCTCTGCAGGCAGATAGTGTTTTCCACATTAGAATTAAAATGTAAATGGTGGATGTGCTTCATGCTGCATTAATGATGCCTTGTGGTATTACTCATTCTCAGGGTTAAAGGGTAACCGCTGTGGATGTTTTCACCGCTAAAGCATGAAGATACAGAGACAATTTGCTCCAACTAAATTCCTACAGTCCCTATAAGAAGACGTTTGTTTACATCAGGCTATGACTGGATCTCATGAACCTTGATCAAAGCCATAAAGTATCCTATAATAAATTAGATTGGACAGTGACATCTGTTCATCCTTTGTTTCTCATCTGTGTAGGTGACCGTGTGATGGTGGCAGGTTGAACCTCAGGGATGTGAGCAGACCAGTAAAGATGACCCTGTTGGCGGGTGATGGCTCCGACTATGACTACAGTGCCCTGAGCTGTGCGTCTGACACCTCCCTGAACGTGCCTCCCCTACAAGAGGAGGAGGCCCAGAAAGGAGTTTTCTACAAGCGGGCGCACCGTGCCCCTGAGCTCAGCACCATCGATGACGATGACACACTTCTGTCCAGCGCCCGTAAGCTTCACGCCATCATCAACGTGGGCGGCATGCGGTACCAGCTGCCTTGGACCACCTTGGAGGACTTCCCCCTGTCCCGCCTGGGCCAGCTGCACCTCTGCAGCAGCTTCGACGAGATCATGAGCATCTGCGACGACTACGATGTCATGCACAACGAGTTCTTCTTCGACCGCAGCCCGTGCGCCTTCAGGACCATCCTGACCTTCCTGCGGGCGGGGAAGCTGCGCTCCCTCCGGGAGATGTGCGCCCTCTCGTTCAGGGAGGAGCTGCTCTACTGGGGCGTCCCCGAGGAGAGCCTGGAGTGGTGCTGCCGCCGGCGCCTGCTGCAGCGCGTGGAGGATTTCGAGGCGATGGAGAGGGCGGAGGAGGAGGAGGACCTGCTGGAGGAGGAGGACAGCGGCGACAAGGAGCACGCGGCGGAGTCCAGGCTCAGTCAGTGCATGGGCAAGCTGAGAGACATGGTGGAGAGGCCGCACTCGGGCCTGCCGGGGAAGATCTTTGCCTGTCTGTCGGTGCTGTTTGTCACCATCACCGCCGTCAACCTGTCCATCAGCACCATGCCTGCCATGAGGGAGGAGGAAGAGGCGGTGAGTACACGCGTGACATTTTAAATCACACAGAGGCAAAAACGTTAATGCATTTAAAGACACACTGCCGTGACAGAGAAGAAAGGGCTGAAGTGCATCTACCCTGGAATTTTTTTTAAAAAGCCTTTAGAAATCTAAATGTGGGGGGCTGTAGTCTTCCAAGTGGGCGGCCCGGGTTCGAATCCAGCTGGGTCTTTAGCTTTTTCTTAAAGGTGCAGAGGGACTCGAATGGAGTTTGGAAGTTCATTCCACCACCGGGAGGCGACAGAGCAGAAGAGTCTAGTCAGCGTCTTAGGACCCTATTGTGAAGGTTGGATCAGACGCCTTTTATTGGCAGAGCGCATCAGCCAATAGAAAAAATGGAACTGCAGTAGCTGAGCTTCATCCTGCAGAGGGCAGTCACTATGCATATTTCTAACACACTATTCCAAACTTTAATTAAAATGTATTGTATTAAAATGTCAAGATTTGGACCCGAATTAATCGAAAACACTTAATACACATAAATATGATTTTTTTTTTGGCTCTGGGTGTAGTAACTCTTGAATGAACACAACTTTAATTCACAAGATGCCAAAATACCAAAGTCAAGGCCTCAAAAGAGATTCTCGAGCCACCATGATAACGTCATCACCTTTGTTTCTGAAGACACCAAATCATAGACGGCGACCCCCTCGCTGTGTCGAGATTGTTGTTTTCAAAAGCTGAACTGACGTGTTATTGTTAAAAGCAGTTATTAAAAATGTCTAATACAGGCATGTCTGATGTGTCATGTCCTATAAAACCTCCTCACAGCGAGAAACGGGGCGACTGCTGAGAGGGAGAGACGCTTGTTTTACCAGATAAGAAGAAGAAGAAATTCTTGGAGACCCCTCAGCGTGCCTCAGTGAAATGCTCTCATTATTATGTCTGACTTCAATCACAGACATGATTTGCGCATACATAATTTGTAAGCGCAAACAGGGTTTTATCTTAAATTCATCCATTTCTCCTTGATGCTTTGATTCCTCTCTAGTTTGGATGGAGGAGGAGGGAAAGTAAAACTACATTACTATCCTAATTAGAAACAAATCTTTATTTATTGTATCTCTAAATATGCAGAAAATCCAGCACAGATAATCAGGCGGAGGTTAAAACCACAACTACTATTTGAAAGTCTTAGCAAATCTACAGGTTTCACACTCTCCAGGTTTCTACGACGGAGTATTATGGCCATGTTGAAGGAAAAACCGATCTAAAAATTTGAGATTTCAAGTCGTAAATGTATAAGGATGAAGTCGTTAATTTACAATATAGACTTGTGTAAATCAGTGTACTTCTAGTAATGAAAGAGACAACAGAAAACTCAAATACTTAGTCTTTTTCGGAGCTCTGATTTTTTTACATTTTCAAAATCCAAAACAAAAAACACCAATCAATCGCTTTAAATGAGACTATGGTTGAAATTATTATTCTGAAAGGTTGCATCAGAAGAGCAGCCCTCCGCCTGCACGAAAATGATGAATGAGAAACCCTCAAAGCCATTTCCTCTGACACAAAAGAGACGATTTCCTCCAAGTCAGTGTGGTTCTCTCTCCAAAAAGCCCCAGTTAAGTGCAATTTCTTTTTAGGGTCCTGATACTGTTGACAATGTGATGCTGATATGACAAAAGAATGTGTAGTTTCATATCTGCATACGTAAAACCCCAACACAAATAATCTTATTTCTAGAAACAAGCTGTTGTTTTTTTTGAAGATTTATTTTTGGGCTTTTTGTGCCTTTAATGGATAGATAGGACAGTGGATGGAGTTGGAAATCAGGGAAGGACATGCAAGAAGTGAACCCGGGCCGCCCGCTTGAGACAACAGCCTCCATACATGGGGCACTCGCACTAACCACTGCGCCACCAGCGCCCAACAAACAAGTTATTGTTTTAAAGCAACTCATCCCACAGAGGGTTCATACATAAGGAAGTATTTCCTTATTTGTACAATTCTACAATTCACTTAGCAGACGCTTTTATCTAAAGCGACGTACATCAGAGAGTAAGAACAACACAAGCAAGGATCTAGAAAAAAGGGAACAATGTGAGTAAGAGTAAACGATCAGCTTTGAGTCTGATTGGACACACAGGTGCTGACAGGAAGTGACCAGAGGCAAAGCACAACATTGAGGGCAGTTCTTGAGAGCTCTAATCAGTATAGAAACCATCTTATAAGTCGTCGTTATCAAACAAAAACCATCGTCACAACCATCATCATCATCAATAATATGGAGACCATCATCATTAAGTTAGTAAGTATTCGTGAAAGAGCTGGGTCTTTAGCTTTTTCTTAAAGGTGCAGAGGGACTCTGCAGATCCAATGGAGTTTGGAAGTTCATTCCACCACTGGGGGGCGACAGAGGAGAAGAGTGTAGTCAGAGACTTAGGACCCTGTTGTGAAGGTTGGATCAGACGTCTTTCATTTAATATAAGTTTCATTTGTGAAACTTATATTAAAGTGTAACTTTCCAGGATGCTCCACGTTCCTCGCAGAGTTGCTGTTTGTCAACAGGCAAAGGCAGGAAACTGTTTGGGGCACCCAGACCAGTAGAGGGGCCCCCGAGGGCTGACAAACTTAAACCAAATCAATGTGCAAATTTTGCAACGACAGTAGGAAACCTCTAGGGGGAACCAATCTAACAGCGCTCACTCTCGTTGCATGCATTATCGCTGTGAAAACCAAAGAAACAAGAAGAGGAATTATCCGTCTACAGGACAGAAAAAAGTAAAAAGGAGAAAAGAGGAAGTGGAGTACGCCTCAGGAGACATGATGGTGATGAACGCTGGTTGGAGGGCCCCCCAACTGGTTTCTGCCAAGGGCCCCAAACAGACTCTAGAATCGCCATGGTTCCTCATTTTCATGCAGGCGGCTGCTGCTCCTCTGATATATAATAGACTTAAATAACGACTTTAATCTTGTAAATTTACAACTTTAATATCGATATCTCCGATTCCCCCCCCCCTTGATGTGGAGCCTAATACTCCTTCGTAGGTTTCAGATCTGAAAAGTCATCTTTCATTTTTAACATTTTTAATTTTCTTATCATGATTTATTTAGTCAGCTGGTTTCCTGGAGCGCCTTTACATTAAGTGATCAAACGTCTAATAAGTTAAAAAATCCTCCTTATCATTCTACTAAACCAGTCGCAAATGATGCAGGAGGAAATTAGAAGGGGAAATGAAATAAAAGAAATACAATGACACTGCACTGGATCTGATAAAGTTACTGTAGTATATTTGACCTGGCATGCTCCTTTTTTTGGTAATCACACTTTGGTATTCTCAGTATGTTTAATTAAAAGTGCTGCTTTTCACATCCTCACAGCTGCACAGACAGATAAAGTGTTGCAGTCACAGTGTTTCGGGTTTTTCTATCGCTCTACACTCCAAGCATCTCCTCCTCTGTGGGAGTGTGTTTCATAATATTTCAAAAACTGATGTGGACTGAATTCAAACGGCTCTGCGCTTTGAATCACTTTGAACTTTTTCTCAGCCACGCATTGAGTCAGCATCATTACTGCGTCTAAGAAAAACATCCGCCTTTACAAAAAAAGCCTTAAAGCAATGCATGATGAGAAAAGTTAAGAGGAAACAGTTTGCTGTTTGCTAAAATCATGCTCTCCTCTACGATCAGATTGATGCAAAAAATGTTCAAGTGGGAACATTTGTTTTATCTACAATGGGCATTTATTTTTCCTGGTTTGAGAAACATGTCCTTGTGTTCACTGCTGCAGCTTCCCACAGTGCTCAGCTCGTGGATTTCACAAAGAAATAGTTCCCTCTAGTGACTGCAGCCTACACTCACACCTGCTCATCCTTTTTTTTTTACTCTCTCTCTCTCTCTCTCTCTCTCTCTCTCTCTCTCCACCAGGGCACGTGTTCCCAGATGTGCTACAACATCTTCATCGTGGAGACGGTGTGCGTGGCCTGGTTCTCCCTGGAGTTCACCCTGCGCTTCATCCAGGACCGCAGCAAGCTGACCTTCCTCCGGCAGCCGCTCAACATGATCGACGTGGTGGCCATCCTGCCGTACTACATCACCCTGCTGGTCGACAGCACCTCCAAAGGGGAGAAGCGCCTCGGCTCGGGCAACAGCTACTTGGACAAAGTGGGCCTGGTGCTGCGCGTGCTCAGGGCCCTGCGCATCCTCTACGTGATGCGCCTGGCTCGACACTCGCTGGGCCTGCAGACTTTAGGCCTGACCGCACGCCGCTGCACGCGAGAGTTCGGACTGCTCCTCCTCTTCCTCTGCGTGGCCATCGCCCTGTACTCCCCGCTGCTTTACTTGATAGAGAACGAAATGGCCGCCACGCAGGAGTTCACCAGCATCCCTGCAACATACTGGTGGGCTGTCATCACCATGACAACGGTGGGCTACGGGGACATGGTGCCCAGGAGCATCCCCGGGCAGGTGGTGGCTCTGAGCAGCATCCTGAGCGGGATCCTCCTCATGGCCTTCCCCGTCACCTCCATCTTCCACACCTTCTCGCGCTCCTACGTGGAGCTGAAGCAGGAGCAGCAGCGGCTGCTGCAGAGGAGGACTCACTTCCTGCTGCGCAGCCGCATGGCCGGCCTGGGCAGCGACCTCTCCTTAGACAGCGACATGCTCTTCCCTATAGGCACGTCTGACACCAGACACTTGGATAACTGAGACTGATGGGAGTGTGAAGGACATTTTTACTGGGCGTGGGACAGAAAAGAAAGAGACTATGAAGGGAGAGAAACCCAAGAAAGGAAAATGATTTGAGATAAAAAAACAGGGGTTAAGAAGAGGCAGCATGGAGAGACGAGGGAGAGAGAAGTCTCTATAAACAAAATACAGAGGAGAGAATGGATAGTTCTTCTTCCCAGAAATGCAGCCTTGCAGTGTAGCAGTGACCTCTGAATAAAACTGAACAAACACAGAGAGGAGAAACAGATCAGAGGATAAAGAATAAAGAAAATGAACTAAAATAGGTTCATGTTTCTAAGTAAAAAAAAATCAAACATAAGCCCAGTTAATAAATGAAAAAACACAAACCTCATTTAGAATGCATTACAATGAACTACAGTATTATGACAGTCATGTATTAAATACATTGTTAATCAAACATGTGAAATATATTATTTTACAGAAGAAGAGGAGTAAATACTTCTTTACTCTGGATGTTTGAATTTGTTAAAGTCATGAATTCCTGAGATTTGACCAGTGTCGCTAAACGGTTCTGTCAAATTAAAGACGTTAAATGGAATTTCCATCGAGGCTAAAGCGTGACCCCTAAGTCCACTGATTGTTTCCTGACTGTGCAAACCCTGAAAAATATGTCACACAAATTAATTATGATGTATTATAATTCGTCCTTCCCTTACTCCTCGAGGTTCCATATGCAATTTGGTTGTTGAAGATAGCATTATTGTTCTTGTAATTACTGCTGTCGCTGTCCATAGCTGTTGATAATGATTATTGCTCTCCTTAAAGTGGATTTAAAAACTCAAATCTGTGTGCTCCATTGTCTCTTCACTCGTACTCACTTTAAAACTTTGTGATTGGTTTTGCAGTGTAGGCATAAAACTGAAGTCCACACATGGGCAGAAAAGTCAAACACAAGGACAAGCGGGCACATGTGGGGTCAAACCCAAGCAGCAACCTCAAAACTGAAAAATGAAGCTAATGCAGAAGTGCAAAAATCCTGCAGATGTTCGAGGGTCCACTTGAGGCTGGCTCTAAGAGCTCCAGAAGTCACATACACACCCCATTAAAAAAAAAAACTTACATTTTTACAACATAAATTAACATGTTTACAGCCTGGTGCAAAAAACGATATATGTCTGATTAGTTATTATCCTCATGGGCACACATTGTACAGAAAAGGATTCTTTTTATAACGCAGCTGTAACATATGTAGGATAATAGACTGCATAGTGAGAAAAACAGACTATTACATTTTGAATTATTATACCCCAATAATTCTACTTAAGAAATGGTGTGAAATAAAATATTTCTATTGTCTATTTTATATTTGTTTTAATCAAATATGAAAACCTGAATTTAACTGTAGTAGCTTGTAAGCAGATACGAACTCTGACCATTAAACACTCAACAAAACTCCTGGCTGGCTCGCCAATTTTGTAACATCCAAAAGGGGTAAGTAATGCTTGCAATATAAAATTTTAAAGGAACAATAGGTTTGGCTACTGGAGCAAAGTGGAGAGTTCAAATGAGGCTCAGAGACAGGTTTTACCGGCTTTAGTAGAAAAAGTAGTTTTGACAAACATCAGTTGGTGCCATACAAAAATAACAAGACAACTTTCTAATATCAAATTGGCTTTTATATCTTGGGTGCACCCTTGTAACCTGAATCCTGTATCTCATTTTCAAGTTATTCAAATCAAGTTCATCCGTTTTGATTTTTTGAACGATACCAGTTATGCACGGTTACGCGTAAGGCTGACATGATTGACAGGTGGAGCGCATTGTAGCGGTTTTTCAAGAGGCCTCACATCCAGCTCTCAGCCTGTCGTTAGTTTTGACTGAAAGTTAGGCTGAGACAGCATTTCCAACATGGCGGCTGCTGCAGATGAGCCTCCAGAGCTTCTTGCAGGAACAGATAGCTGACGTCACTCAGGCTTCATACGTTTATATTCAAAGTCTTTAGAGCAAACCACAAAGACAGGAGAGTAAAAAATGGTGCATTTGATTTCTTCATTTGTCAGTGAGGAGATGACATGTTCTTATGAGTGGTTTCATGGTGAGGTGCTGCACGCTTACAGACCAAACACACATCGGACAGAATTTAAACCAGCTCCATTCCTTGTTTTCTAACTTAGTGAAGTCGGTTAAGTCAACATTCAAGCACTGTTTAATAAATAAAATTAAAATGTGGTCAGACAATATATGACTCAGAGAAAATAGAAAAACTCTTGATGGTGGATTCTACGATTTTTTTTTCATGTCTGTCACATTAACACACATTAAGGATGTTAACACTTCAATACAATCACTGACAGTGTTCATTAATTTTATTTGACATTTATTCTACCAGGAATATATATCTCAAATATCCACTGAGATGTAGAAACTGATTTTAACAAGAGAGTCGTGGCCAAGACTGCATCATAAAAGAGTTTCATGCAAAGAACAAACGGCAGACGATAACAAGCAGAAATGACATCATTCAATGAATTAGCAACAAGAAGCAGTTAAGATGTGTGCACGCACTGGTTTAAAATCGTCCAAGCTAATAAAATGTTTGAGTTTAATGTGACCCTGTAGCTCAGACCAAGATCAGTGAACAAAAACATTCAAAACCGTTTTGCTAAAGACAGAGAGAGTTTGTGGAAAAATATAAAAATATGATGTGCCCGCATGAGACGAAAGGTTACAGCTACCTGGTGTATCAGGAGTCAGTAGATAACATAAGTAAGAAGGCACAGTTCATGTAGTATGCAGTATTAAACAGTCCACAACACGGCAGCACAGCACCGACCTCCAGTGACTGCACAGAGTTAAGAATTGTTTTTACAAAAACACTCAAAGGGACCCAAAAAAAAGGGTGCAAAGGCGATGCCTGCACAATAACTCTTCTATCAGTCAGCACTTCATCATTGCAGTGAGTGCTGAGAGTTTCTCATGCACATGTTGCCCCTGGTACTTCAAGTCATGTTCTTGCTGCATTGACATGATACCAAATTGGAACAGTAGGTGGCAGCAAAGTGCCAACAAAGCATTCCATACGTTCTTGATTTAACCAAAAAGTGAATATACTGTTTTTATTTTACCTTGTGACGCACTCTGGCGCAGGAACAGTCAGACATGTCGTAATAAATGCAAGTCTCTCCTAATGTATTAAAACCTAGATTATGTCTAATTTGGAAGCTTTGACTTTTAATTTTTAAAGTTTTATTACATACATCCATCCATTTTGTTTTATTCTGTTTCCAATCAAGCGAGTAATTTCCAGTCACTTTCTTGAGAAGTCCATTTAAAGATGTCTTAATCTCGGGATAGTAAAAATGCTGGTTTCCCCCATAATGAGTTAATTTCTCAAGATCTCAAGAAAACGTGTAAATGAATTGAATCAGTTGAAAAGCAGTGTTGTTATTTCAGTTAAACAAGATAAATGTGTCTAACTCTCGAGAAAACAACTTGTTTTCCAAGGGAAGTAAACTAAAACATTAGTATTCAACATGCATGTCCTCTTGGGGCTTCCGTAATAACCATATTCCTAACCTTCAGTATTATTGTCTCTGTTGGCAGTTGAAGCCACGTTTGAACCTGCACGCGCCCCCAGGTGAGGTGGGACTTCCCATGAAAATGCCATTCATCTAAATCAGGGCTCGATTGGGCATGAAACACATCCACCAATCAGAGGCGGACAGTAGCCCTGGAGGCCCCGCCCCCCCCCCCCTCTCCCTTGCCTCTAACATCACATCGCAGTGTTTTGGTCATGATTTGGTGTTTCTGCACTGTGGCTGCGTGTCGGGGCTGTTGCCACGCGTGACTGCTCGGTTCACACTCAGGCACATCGAGCACAAACGGATCTTATCGATTTGAATCCTTCCCTTGCATGTGAATGAAATGATGTTTCGTTAGTTTGGAGCGATTCCCGTTATGACCTCCCCGGGCCGCCCCTCCAGCTGAATGGGATCCCTGTACGCTCGTTTTGGCACCGACTGACTCTCCTGCTTCTCCTTCTTCTTCTTCTTCTGCTCCCAACCTCGAAATATTTCCGGATCTGTGACCCTTTTTTTCTGGTGTCTTCCGTCAGTTCCTGAATGGTTTGATTTGTATCCCGTCTGTCTGATCTGGCAGAAGAGCGACGACGCCAAAATCTACGGTAGCCTTGCGCGTCAGGGTGAGTAGCCTCAACTTGTTATTTCAGTGCGGGTGAATCCAGTAATGACAGATAGACACACACACAGAGAGAGTCAGAAAAAAACCAGACACAGACAGGGGGGTTAATTAAACATAAACGAGGGGGTTTGATCCCACAAGTGCTGCAAATGACTGTGATGTTTCCAGATGGCCATAAACCTGACTTTACCTATTTTACATGTGCCTCTTTATGACCTAATTAACATAGAATTCCCTGCTCTTTATGTAACATGTTCGCAGGTATAATTGCTTTTGTTAATAAGGATCATTAAAGTGAGGTCACACTATAATTTTCTCACTTCGCAATTCCCTGAAATAACCGGTTGCTCCGAAACCAGCAGCTCTGAGAGTTGTGAAAAATACAACCTGCAGCCCTCTTTCTTTTATTTTAATACAACACAGTCTCATCTGCAGGACTTCTGGGAAAAGAGCACTTTTTTTTTGTTATTTGCTTAATCCTGATTTATAGAGAAATTGCTCCACAAGAGAAAGTGAAACCATGGCAGCTCTCTGAAGGAGAATCACTATATCTGCTGTACCTGAACTGTTTCATGTGTGAAAGAGAAGAAAAAAAAAAAGGTTGTATGTTTTAAACAGGAGCTGCTTAAAGAACCATTTCCGCTTCTTCATTTTAGAATACCACAGGCTTTTCCTTCCTTCCTCTGTGATCCCACACACTTTCAAGACACGGCTGTCATATGTTTAGGATTAAGTCTCTCCCACTCAGCGTGACTCAAAGGCCCAAATATTGACTCTAATGTGGTGGCTACTAACAATAATAATAATAACGACAAGTTTTGAATGGACCTCAGGGTGATTGTCCGATCTGTCTTTAGAAAGGTGAGCCACGTCTTTGAGCCTAAACACGCAGCCCCCCCTTTCCTCCCATAGTGGCCTGTGTGTACTGTACACACTGATCCAGCTCACGGCACAGAATCTGCTAACCGTCACCCGTCTACAAAATGAAACCTGATTGAGCGTCTAGACGAGATTTAACTCTCAGACCGTAAAGTTCAGTCTGTCAGTTTGTTCGCGGCGTCAAAAGTACGACTCATTCCCATCATGACAGTTGAGATAAAACACTTTGTACAACACACACACACGCACACACACACATCTGCCTTAAACCTAAATATTGTGTCTGAACCACTGCAGTGAATTCCAGCTTGTTTTCGCTGCCTGTGTCTGTAATCCTCCAAAAACACATATGCTGCACCAGTAATTTTTTAATGAAAAAATTGCTATCACATTTGATTATCAGTATTATGCATTAGCCTAATCCTCCACAGATTTTGCTTTTTTTTTTTCTTTTTTTTGTATATCCTGGAGGAATTAGGGAATTCGGGCATAAACATATTATATCCGATGGATTCAATATCCTGAGGTTTTATGGTGACACTGACATGCAAAGTGACCCTGCAGGATGAAGCCGTGTTGCGTGTTTTTTTTTTTTAATCATACATCCTGCTCAGGGATCATGATAAATACTTCCACCAGGACTAAATGTTGCCAGTTTTTCAGCCAGGCTATTAGCATGCATTTTGCAAACCTGGCAACGCAAGCCAACCAACCAGCGTGCGAGCGAGGAGGAGTGTTTTCTCAAAGTGGTACGAGATGGAGCATTGTACTTTTTTCCTAACTGGCAGATTTCCGGCTCCACAGAGGGGGGACCTAATGCTCCTTGGAATCCCATGAATGCCCTCCAGTGAAAGCCGTAGATGTTTATGTCAGCTCCAATGAGATTGGAGGAAAAGTGGCTCTTGAAGGCCCGAAATTCCTCCTAATTGGCAACTTTGGCTGTGGACTGGCCCCTTTG